ATCTCCTTCCGAACATCCTGAAGCGAGATTTCCTACAAATATTAGCAAAGGCTCATATTTCAATTGTCATGTTTTCATGCTGAATCCATTCAGTTACCTCCTTAGAGCTATTTTAAGGAGAATTTATAATGAATTATTACTGCTGTCTTAATATTTTGAGGAACAGAAATCTGTGCTACGTGCTCTAGCAACAATTCTGAGGAGCAAGAGAGCAGGTCCAACAGTTCCAGCCTACTGGATGTGGTTCTGTTTCAAAATCTGACTCTATCAAGACTCACCCACATTTATCTCCTATGTTCACCTCATATCTTCATTTCTTTTAAGGCAACTTTTTCACGTTTTCAGTTTACAGAAGGACCCTTGGTATTGTCCATAGAGCAAGGACAAGAACCACCAGGCTTACACTTGTTACGTCTTCCAAAATAAATCCGAAATATCTGCTCCTCAGACTTTTTGCATATATGCTTGCCCTCACTCATTCTCCTGTTCTCTTCTCCTTCCCTCACCACCTCTCTGGTATCACTCATCACTTCACTTCCTTTATGTGTTATCCTTCCAGCTGCTGTGGAAATACTACACGCCTTTTGCTCCTGTTCCTCTCCAAACCAGGCATTAAAACCTGTGTCTGAACTGGACATATTCTGAGTTTCAGCTTGCCAGGGGCTGATTTCCCTTTTAAAAATGCACATGATAAAACTCCCTACCAGAGGTGACAGGCTACTTCACAGGTGTCAAACAGTGCACAGCTTATCACTTAAAAACTAAACTTCCTACTGACATTCTTCGGAGCATTAAGCCATTGGTGAGTAAATTACAGATTCACAAGGATGTGAATTTTGAAGAAGGAAGTGAAACACTGCATTTCCTTTCACCACACAGATCACAACAGCTTGGTTTAATGACCCAGTGGGATCCCCAGCTCCACTGAGACACCCACCCAACCCACACGCCAGCACAACACAACAAAGTCAGTCCTCTGAGATTCTGTACCCTCGGGTTTCCCTGAAGTTCAACAGCCTCTAACCCCAGGACTGCCTTTACCTAGTGAGCTGCTTCTCCATGGAAGTTCATGTCCCATACCTGCGGGGTGGTGACTATGACAGCCCCATCGATGTGGGTGGCACTGAGGTACTGCACGATGGACAGGTGCTCGTCCGACGTCCCCGGAGGTGTGTCCACGATCAGGTAATCGACCTCCCCCCAGTCCACGTCACGGAGAAACTGCTTGATCAACCCTAAAAGAAAGGATAAGGATGTGAAAAAAGAGGAAAAAAAAAGCATCTCCCTGTATTTCTACTCCTGTAGCCCAGGCAGAAGATTCTTCTGACTTGTCAGCTTTAGGACAAAAACATGTATTTGACTTTAACTTCACCAAATGAGCACGTTCAACTAAAGAAATAATAAACCATTCACTCCTTTTTTCCTTATAGCTTATACTATATTTATGTTATTAAAAAAGGTCATGATATTTACATAACTGAAATCTTTTAAGTACGTGAATCATTGTTGATACACTTGATACACACCATTTTTTTTTGGTCCTCTCCAGATGACAGCATCATCAGGGCTGCTAAGCAAGAACCCCACTGACATGACACCTAAGTTTTCTTCAACATACTGAAAGAGAAGTAGAGAAACAGAGCAGTGAAGAAAGAGTAAAGAAACCAACTCTGAAGCCCTATTTTATAGAAAAAGCAGCTGGAAGAGAAGACATTAATAAAATAAAGGCAGAGAACCTGATCTTCTATCACAGGGCATTAAAAACTATACTCACACTGAAAAAAATGCAGCTGTTACAGCAGTTTATGGAACCACTGGAGACAACAAAAGGATAAAACCAGCTTTCCCTCTCAGCCCAAGCTGCCTTTTTAACAGCACACTACAAGTGATCTCTTGCAAAACTCGCCCTGCATTTTGTAAAGATTAATGAGGTTTTCCTTGTGTGTAAGGTACTTCTTGGCTGTCACAGAAAAGGTGACATACTACACAGCTGACTGATGCCCAAAATGACAAAACTGAGGAACTTATATTTATTGCCTGCAGTAGGGAAATCAGTAAACAAGAGATATAGTATTACTATAATTTAACAAAAGAAATTTAACACTCTGAGTATATATCCAGATTCTATAGTACCTGGAAATATATTCTATAGCATTCTGTTCTGTTCAATCTGGATATAGGCTACATAGAATCTATAAAATGTGGAAACACAGAATCTATAGATTCTATATCCTGTATCTATAGAATCTAAATGTTTAAGTAACTAGAAAAAGAACTAACAGAAGTGCCTCCTGCTTCTCCCTCACTCACTCCTGCTTCTCCCTCACTCATTTTTTAACACAGAACATAGTGCCCAACCCAAACAAACCCAATAAACTTCCTGAAACAGCTGCACCAACTCACCACTGGAGACCATCCAGATCCACTCTGATGAACCTGAAAATTGAAGTGATACATAAAGTTATAAGACAAATAAATACAGAAAATACATAAAACATGAACATAAGTCAAACCTGGGTAACAGCTTTCCTCCTTGCAGGGACAATCCTGCTTTATTGGGATGGTTGAGGTAAAAACTCCAGATCTCCAGATCTCCATCAGTAAGTGAACAATAACTGTTCAATCCTTATGTAAGTTTATCCATGACTTCGCATACTTATATAAAATACTCGAGGGCTGATAAGGTTCGTCATAATAATATTATGCAAGTTTTAAGTTATCACAAGTATGTGGACACTATGCAACAAAAGCTGTTTTGTAGAACTGCTCATCCTGAAGGCAGATGGCTCTTTTACAAAATAAATTATGCTGAACTCCTCCATCTCACCTTATTTCCCTACCCACTGCCACTTCCCAATAAACAGTCCTTTGCAAGCTTTCAGCCTACAGAGCCCAAAGACATTACTGAAAAAATGAGCAGAAATCCCTTAAGCAACACGTTCGAGCATTCACTCACCTGTTCTCCTTCCAGACCCATCATTTTGGGGATCGACGGCCCGCAGATATCGATGTCCAGCAGAGCAACCTGGAAAACAAACCGGCCAACGCGCCCCACTGGAAACAAGGCGGCACAGGGCCGTCCCGCAGGGCGAACTCACGCAGTGAGAACACCCTAGCGCGGTTCATACACGAAGGCCAAACCCTAAGGAGCGGGGGAACACAGCCGGTCCCCTCCCGCCAGCCCCGGGCCCCACCTGCTTGTGCTCGTCGGCCGCCAGCCCGTGCGCCAGGGCGGCGCTGAAGGTGCTCTTGCCCACGCCGCCCTTGCCGGACAGCACCAGCACCGTGTGCCGCACCGCCCGCAGCCGCGCCCGCAGCTCCGCCGCCTCGGCTGGGGGCGATACCGGGCCGTCAGAGCGGCCCCCGCACGGCCCGGAGCTCCGTCAGGGCCCTCGGACCGCCCGGAGCCCCCTCACGGCCCCCCAACAGCGCGGACCGCCCCAACTCCCTCTCGGCCCCGACACTCACCCGGGTCCGGCCCGGCCGCGCCGGCCGCGCACAGCCCCTGGTTGGGGCATCCCTGGCAGGCGGCCGCGCTGCCCGCCTGGGCGCTGCCGGTCCCCGGGCACTCTGCAAGGCACAGCGAGGGCTGTGGCGCGGGTGCGGCGGGCGGAGGGCCCGTCCCGGCCGAGCCGCTCTCCCGCGGGCCGCTCACCCTCGGGCCGCGCCGCGCCCGCCGCGTCCGCCATGACAGTGCGTCACCTCCGCCCGAGGGGGCGGGGCCGGACGGGGCGGGGCCTGCGGCCGGCGGGACCGCTCCGCCAGGGGGCGCTGCGGGGCCGCGGTGGCACCTCAGGGGGACCCGGTGACACCTCGGGGGGGGTCTGGTGACACCTCGGGGGGACCCGGTGACACCTGGGAGGGAGATCTGGTGACATCTCTGCGGGTACCCGGTGACACCGCCGGGGACCTCTGCTGACACCCCCGGAGGGATCCAGTGACACCGCCGGGGGGCTTCGGTGACATCCCCGGGGGCTCTGCTCCGGGGGGGTCCGGTGACACCGCCGGAGGGATCCACTGACACCCTCTTCAGCCTCGGTGACATCCCTGGAGGGTTTCACTGACACCCCCGGGGACTCTGCTCCGGGGGGGCTCCGGTGACACCCCCGAGCAGCCCCACCCCGGGCTCACCGCCAACGCCCCGCGCACCGCCCCGGGGTCCGGCTCGTGTCGCCGGTACCGCAGCTACGGCAGGTCCAGCTCTGCCAGCAGCCACCGTGGAATTTCTCCTCTGGGACTCCGCTAGGCAGAATAAATGGACCATTAATTGCACGGAGCCCTCCCGGTGCCGCAGCCCTGTTCCAGGGTCCCGGGGCTGAGCCACGGGGGCTCTGTGCCCGCACCACGCTCGGCCGCTGGAAGCAGCCGCGCTCCAGCACTGAGCCAGCTCACAGCACTGTACAGCTGCCAAGGACAGCGTGACACAGGAATGCACTTCACTGCTGTGTTTCACAAGTTTCATACCCAGGAAATTATGTATCATTCCAGTAAAATTGCGCTGTTGCAGTATTTCGTGTCAATTCTGAGTATATTAATTCTGTATCTTGCTGATAGACAATTTCCAATAATTTAATGGGTACATTCATTTGGGAGATTATTCTGCCTTAACTTGGCCAGTCAACTTCTGAGCAATCAGATAGTCACTGTCTCTCCCCTCGCTGCCTTAGCACAGCCTTGTCCTGTCTTCCACTTGTAACATCACAGCTTAAGAACTGACGTAGTTGCCAGTGTTGGTGATAAGTCTTGGTGCTGCTTGGGCTGGCAGTGCACCTGCCAGAGAGCTGTGTGTGTAACCTGACTCACCCAGACAGACCCGTTGGGGATACCCCACCAACATCCACCAAAAGGCAATTCCTGCCTCAAAATGCTTCCAGTCTAGTCCAGCACTAAACCCAAGTCCCATATTTAGTCTTAAGAGGAAAAAAATGTTCTTACAAGACCTTTGACAACCTTTTCACCTTTCCTTCATTTTCCCACCACTGTTAGAAGTTCTCGTCACGATGTTCAGAGTCCCAACTACAGGAGATGCAGCAAGAGCATGGGAACAGTTGGCACAGGAGTAAAGCTTTGGTGTCCAGAGTAATGTATCAAACAATGTGACCACTTTGCACTGGAAAAATGCACACAAAAACTGAATGACAGTCCACCTAGAAAACAAAAAACCCACCAAACCAAAACAAAAAACAAACCTAGAAAAAAATCTGAAAATACATTTCATTAAGGTAATTGAGGAGCTTGGTCTGTTTTTTGGTCATTAATAAATAGGCTATTACTCATTTCCCCTTTCAAGTGTATTTACCCCAGGGAAATGCTCATCACCCCTGGATACTTGTACAGCTCCTGAACTTCCTGCTCTGTAATTTCCTCCTATGGGAAACTAATGAAAATGTTACAGGGAAGTGGAGCCAAATGTTTAAGCAAATTCAAATGTCTGTGGTGGGAGGAAAACTGGCCAGGAAGACATATCAGAAATTTATACTGTACCTTGCCCACGAAAAATTTGGCTCTGTGTAAGACCACAGCCCAGTACGGCACTTTAGGTCTGTGCTTCCTGTCAAACATATGGATTAGATTCACTGATGTCTGCAGGACTTTCCACATATTAAACTGAGGTACGTGTTCAAATATCTTTCTTTTGGGGCCAACTGTTTATTTCCTGTTCCCAAAGTTATAGAGGACATTCCCCACAAAAAGCACCGAAAAGAGGAAAGTGAATCTCTTCCTTAGCACCCCTCTTGCTCTGAGCCAGCGGGGGCTCCTTGTGCAGGGCTCTCTGGGTGAACACCAGGCCTTGGAGTGCTCAAGCCAGGCTGAGCTCAGCCCAGGGCTCTGCCAGCACTCTTGCAATCTCATGCAATAACTTTACCCTCCGCGGCAGCTGCTGAGAATTAGTTCCATCAGTTATTGCAGGAGGAGGGTCTTTTGTGTGTGAGCATTTGCAGTATCAATCTTACCCTGTTTACACACCCCTGTGTGTGGCTCCACTGCTTGTCCCTCACTGCCCTACAGTTTATTTATGTAGGTTTTAAACAGATAAATTTAACTGACAGTGACCATTTCTTTAAAATTATCTCTCCTTTTTTTTGCTGGGTAATGTCCCGCAGCTTTCTGAGACAAGATACGCTGTAACGCAGTGTGTGTATATATATATCAACAGAGATGTACAGCATGCCCTGGAGAAGGATCTTTCTGACAAAAACTCAGCCTATTTTATTGATGAGAAGTGCTTTAACCTGAGGAACACATTGGGCAGCATCAACTTTTACCATGGAGTGGAAAATGCAGCAGAGACGTGAGTTCGAGTGGCTGCTGTAGCCTTCCCTGTGTGTACTCCCTGCTGTAAGTAAGAGCCTGATTCAGCCCAGGCTTTATCTTTGAGAAGTGATATAGAAAGAAGTGGCTTCTCTCTCCTCAGGGCCCTGTTTTTCCCTGATGTGAGACCCTCCATCATCATCCTGGGTCCTGGTTACAGCTCTGTTGCAGTTGGCTCCTCACCCTCAAACTCCACTGTGCAGGGTCCCCCCTTGTTTTGATTTACACTGTTCTGTGGCTTTCAGCTTTCAAAACCACATCAAACCAAATAAAAATTCAGCTGAGGTGTGCAGGTAAGTGCAATGCAGCAAACGGCACATAAATGCTCACCAAGGACTAAATATACTGTCTGTGAAAGAGCTTGAGTTGTGAAATTAGTCCATTTGGCACAGCTTTAGTGCTACAGATTGAAAGGAAATTACTGAACTAAAATGTCCCAATTGCAGGCAGTTTTCAAACTGTTTATTAGCAGTGTCCTGCATCCAATCCAAGTGCAATAGCAGCAGCAGAGCATCTTGCAATAGAGGGCAGTGTTTTTGTGCTAATGACTTGTCAGTTCCCTTATCATTAACATAGCAGTGCTTGAATGGTGAATGTACTTCACAATCTCAAATGATAACGACTCTGTCTTGTTGGAAGGAGAAAAAAAAAAATCAGTATTATTTGTTTACTTATGCTCTGCTTTTCATTAAAAGATCACCTCATTCACTACTGAAACGAGGGCATATCCGAAGGAAACTTGGCAGGCATTCTGCTGACTCCAGTAACACTACCTACTTTCAGGATTAGCAATGAATAAAATTATTCTTGTCAGCTCTAGTAAAAAGCAGATTCATGTGGATAAGTTTTGCAGCCCTTTTCCTTTCTCACCATCCATTATCCAAAGAAACTACACTTTTCACTAATGTTTTCCTGAAACCACTTGGCAGTCTGAGACATACCTGCAGCACTCAGGAGCAGAGCAGGTGTTTTCTGCCTCAGCAGACCCAGATGGATAAATGACAACCTGAAAAAGCAATGTTAAAGAACAGATTAAGTACCAAGTATTTCAGATAGTCAAGATGGAAACCTACATGGAAATTTAATTTTCTGATGAGAAGATGAATATAATCCATCAGATCGTAGAGCAGGAAAAAAAATCCCAAAGCAAATATCCTGTAGAAAATACATCAAGATTGTCTGGATCAGTAGCTGTAAGCACAGCCAGCTCAGGCTCTGTAGACTGACTTATGTACTTTACTATCAGGTTGGTTGCCTGAAATTTTTCAGGGCAGCTGCCTAAATAAGTGTGCAGCACTAAGGAATTCCAAATCATTTAGGAAAATCAGTACTTGAGTTTGGAGACAGAGGAATACCCTATGAAAAACTGAAGAAAGGCTACTGAGAAAAAAAGCACTGACAAAAACAAAATTAACCTTTTCTTTTTGCATCCCTTAATATTTACTCCCAGGATTCAATTAAAATGTAGGGTAAATGTGGAAACCAAAATATAATGATTTATCCCTGCAGAGTTTAGCATGCAGGGAAAATTCTTAGGAAAAAAGTTTTCTGTTGGGAAAGAAGTTTAAATGCAGACAGAAGTTTGTCTCAGCCTTTCAATTTGGTAAGTAAAATATCTGTACTTTTCATAGAATACACTAAACACTTGGGTGAAGAGAGGAGTGATCTAGCAGGCTAAGCAAAGCATTAAAGTCAGTGGTGAATTTAACTCCAAAAACAGTAGCTTGCACTGCAGCAGCAGTTTTGAAGCCAGGGGCTCAGGCTGCAATTTATGTTAAATTCCTTACAAGAGTTTCAGTTCCTGCAACAAGTTCCTGGGCTAAATTCAGTGGAGACAACATCAGGTGCTCTCAATATGCAGGGGCCAACTCTGTCCTGCCCTGAAAGGATGCAGAGGCTGGACTGGAGTGCACATCTGAGGAGATGTGGAATCATTTATTCAGCATTAACTTAGCCTTTAATAATCATGTTGCTGAAGTATCTGATGCAAAGAACAAACTCCAAGCACAACTGGCCTAGGTAAGATTCACTAAGAGTTGGCAGCTGCATATTATTATACCTAAAAGGCATAGAAATGTTCTCTGGAGTTTACATCCTCCCTGAATAAGCACCTCCTCAAAGGATAGACCTGTATTACCTTTCCTGGAGCTGCACTTGACTCACACACGGCCTGAGAAGAGCTTGTTCACAGACAGATGACAAGGTTTCACAGGAAACCTTAATCACACACTGATTATGTTCATTTGCAACTTACATGTTTAAAGTGGGGAAAGAGGTCTTAGATAGTATGTTTTTGATTTTACATTACCTGGTGATACTCCCTGTCCATTTCCTGATACAGAAATAGTACACTAAATTTTATTTTATTTTTAAACAGTGAATGAACTTTGGAAAATGTGCAAATAAAAAGACCCACAAACAGCACATTTATCTGTTTTAGAGGAAGAAGATGATTAAGTTTTTGCACTTTTATTTTGAAGCAGCCAGGGGAGAGCCCTAAATTAACTGAAATTTAGAAGTATTTACATAGAGAATGTCATTAGTATCTCCTTGACACCTAATTTCCAAGTTTTCCTTCCCTTTTCATAAACACATTTCCATATCTTTGGCCTGAATGTTGGCCTGGTTCTGGACGGAAACAATCTCATATTTCCAAGTGGGTCACAGTAAACTTTTCAAACATTTGTTCTGCCTTTGTCTTCCTATTATACAAGGCAGAAATGGCTCAGAAGAAGACAGACCTGTATCAGTCTCTGTCTGTACTGCCTTTTCAGCAAGTTTTCACTAAGTCAAAAGTGTAAGTGTATTAGTTGAATTTTGAAACATATATTCTGAAGTTGACCTGAAGGTTAACTTTATACTGACAGATAAAATCTTGTTAAGCAGCAAGACTCACTTTCATATGGCTTCAGTCAGAGTTCTACTGTAAGGTCTTTAAGTTCTTCCAGTAAGATTCTTTCTCTTATAGAGCAGGCTCACATTTACTCATTTTTTTCAGTGCACATTTGGAAACAATAGAGTTTTCCTGCCATTCTACTTGTCATAAGTAGTTTAAGATGTTTTCAGTTTATTTTTAGGGACTCTTAGGAAAGTGCAAACTAACCAGCTAAATAAGTGTAAGCTCACAGCACAGCACTTAAATACATGTTTATTTGTTTGTTGTTTTTTTTTCCTCCCCTGCCTACAAAGCATGAAAGATGTAGTTTTTTGTGTATGGTCTGGCCAGCTACAGCACCTTATCCCTAAATTGGCCATCCATCTCAGTTTCTCATGGATTTACAGGTAAGAACATTTGCTTCACATTTTCCATTGGTATTTTCTACTGCTTTAAAGTGCCCTTTTTATAAAATAACTTATGGCCTAAGGTAGCACAGGGTGCACATATGGGATCACAAAGTGCACTGTGAGATACTGACACATGAGCAGGGGTTTTGTCATGGAGTCCAGCTGACACTGGGACATAACTGCTGACAACTGGATTATAATAGAAAAAGCAAGAGTTATGTCCTTATACTGTCACACCATTAAACAGCAATAATAAACTACCTGGAGAAACTTGAGTATTTTCACAAGGAATAATTAATTTGTCTGGTATACATGGATAAAAAAATCAAAGAAGATTGAATTCTATGAACTAATGCTGCTGTTTCTGCTGAGTTACCAGTTAGCACACACATAACAGAGATACTTTGCTCATCACAAACTCCATAGTAATGTAGTTACATCAGGATAACGAAATGCTGGAGGGGAAGCAAACAGCATGTGCTGGTGAGGAGGAATTCAGGCTGGTCAGCGTTGGCAAAGGAAAGGAAAATACAAGAGGTTCACTGAGCAAAAACACTGCTGGTTAAGCTCTGGGTGAAGTTATATGGTAGAAGTGCTGTTAATTCTCACTCCTGACCTCAGAGGACCCAGAGGAAGGAGAAGGTAAGAGAGGGCAGAAGTGAGTATGGATGAGTGTCCATCTAACAGGTATCTATCAGTAAGCCTTTCTTCTTTCTCCAGTCTGTAATAATTAGAGAAAAAAAAATTGCTGGGTTATGCTTCAGTACAACAGCCATTGACTTAATTCTTAAATACTACCACAGCTCTGTTCTTCCACTGGGGTGTGATTATAGTCAATGCAGCTACTACAGCTCCTGTTCCCTTCTCATCTAATAGCAATGAGAGAATGGGTGCCACAATTTTGGGGTTCGTGTTTAAAAAATATCAATCTTTTGGTTTTGCATTGATTTCCTCAAGCAGTGAACAACACTCTCCGAGACATCCTTCTTTCTGACAAATTATTTTCCTAGCTAAGCAGGGTAGCTCTCATAAAACAAGAGAAAAATGTCAGGAAAATTAACGTAGAAATGATTTCCTATCTTGAAAGCAGGAAAAGCTGGTATTTTAATAAGGCCTGAGCACATTTTTGAAAAATACTTTTCTGATTTGTGAAACAGCAAAATCTTTTCCAGATCAAAACCAACCCCAAAACAACATACAGGGAACCTCCTGCAACCATTTGTTTCTAAAAATCAGTACTCTTAAAGGGGAAAGAGTCAAAAACTACATGAAAGAGTAAATAGTGGGAATATGGTGATGATCTAAAAATGACCTTATGTTGAAATGGCACATTTTCTTCTGTTTATATCCCTGGCACACAGAAGTCTATGATTAATTTATCTTACTTGATTCTGGGCTTAATCTTGGTCATAATAATGTGAGTTCATCCAGAATTTGGATAGTGGAACACTGGAACTATGAGGTGCTGGAGGCAGAAGCCCAGAAGCCCCAGTGAGGTATTTGGCAAGGGTTAGATCACAGGCCAAAGAAGGTATTACAGCTCCACTGTATTTCATCACCACTGGGCTCACAGACAGATATCTGTGGTTATTTGGGGATGCAAATATTCTGAGGAGTCCAAATCTCAACATACGACTCTGGTCAGGCTCAGAGCTGCTTTAGGACCACATTTTTAGTCTGGTGAACAGAAAATACAGCGTACACAGCTCAGTCTAGAAGAGGGTGCCTCAAGAAACAATCTATGCCAAAAGATATTACTGTAAATATATTTTACATTTGGTGTAAAAGGACACAAATCTTTAGGAAAAGAAGGAAAACCTTCAATTGTGGTGCCTGCTCCCTTTAACACATTTGTGTCTCTTTTCTATAAAGTGAATATTAACATAAATAGTTACCTTGGCTTCAGTCTCCTGGAAATAGCCAACAGGGCAGGGTGTTTATGTACATTAGCTCTGGGAATCAGTCAGACCAGACAACAAGGGACATGTTTGCATAGTCCAGTATTTACACCCTATCTAAACAGAAGATCATCCCTGCCAGCTCCAACACCTGCTCAGAAGTGTTCCTGTGCACCCTCCCTGCAAGCCCTGCTGTTCCCCTGGGAGCACAGGGATCAGAAGGATGCTAGAAAAACAGGTACATGTTTAGTAAAGCCATGAAAAAGCAACCACCCACTCCAATAAATAAGTCACCGTGGTTCTGAGTATTTCCACTCAATTCACTGGGAATGTGTGCTTTTAGAAACAGCTCCATTTTGTTGGGGAATTTTTACCCCTGAGGTGTGAAAAGGCAATATATTATATCAATATAGGAGGGAAAATTACTCTCACTTTCCTTTCTGCCTGGTGTATTTTTACTCTTTACCTGAAGAACCTACAGTCTTTTCTTTTAGTAAGCTACTGCCTCAGAGTCTACATCCTTCCCACATTATTTTTATTAAATTGATATATAAATTTAAGGTAAAAAACTTTCTTGTCTTAGCAACTATTGGGTATGCTTATACAGTGCCTAGAAGAATTGCATAAATTTTATATTTACACAACTTTCTTCTAAATCAAGGGAGAGCCTACTTAATTTTATAACTAACATTCAACAAAGAAGGAAAGTCAGGAAAACCTCAGTGGCAATAATAGCAGAAACTGCCTCCCAGCCTCAAACTTCTTATCTGAAAGGAGCCCTCCTACGGCTCTTGCATAGGACATAACCTGTTCTTCCGAATGGGAATAAAGAAATACCAAAATTCCACGGGAGGTGCCCACGCAAGGAGCACGGAGAGGAGCAGCAGCGTCGGGAGCTGTGGGAGGACATGGTATAGGAGAGGGAATACTTTCCCTCTGGCACTTGTCCCACAAATCCTTTCATCTCAGACCTCAATCTATCCTCCCATAACTTTTTAAACATATTTTTGTTGATTTTGTTTTTTCCTCTTTCTCTTTTGATACTTTAAAATCTCAGTTATTTACAGTTTCTCATGCCCGTTCATGGTGCCCGTGAGTACAGTTAATCTCACAATCTAATATTAGAACTTGTTTGAGAGTAACGTTTTCGGGTGATTAGTGAAGGGTGACTCAGAAGTGGTTGGGAAGGTATGTGCTGCTTGGTGGGGACAGCTGAAAATGTTCTGGAAAAACCTGTTTGAAGGAGGAAATAATTATTTAGGAATAGACTTTTGCCTCCAAACCAAGGGAAATTACAGATATGAAGTTAAGGCAGTCACTTGAAGACAAAAACAGATTTATCACTCTCCTAAAATGGTTGCCTTATCTCATAGGGTCAAAAAGACTTGCACAGAGTCCATCAGAGGATGAACTATGGGCAAATGGAGAAACAAGAACGTGTCTATGACATGACAATAAAAACTGTCAGGTCCAAATTCATTTCAGATTGAAGATCTGGGTTATGCTTGTAATCCAAATATTGCAAGATAGCATAGTTTTACTTTGAAATAATGTGGCATATATAAAAAAATTAATTGCAAAATCAGTCATAAGGACACTATTCAGTTAAGTATAACTTGAACAAATGTTAACTTTTACACTATAATTTAGGTGAAATGTGGAAACATGGACGAAAAGGGTTTAGAAAAACTAACAGAAAGGTAAAATATTAATGAAGTTTATGAAATGAGGAGGCACAAGTATGTTCCTCCCACCACATTACTGCTGGTTTTGCTGCTGCTTTTTGCATCCAGGTAGCAACCACTGAGGTAGTTTAACCTCAGAAACAACAAAGAAACAAGGTCAGGCTGCAGCATTTTAAAAATGCTTATGTTGTACCTAAGACTACCCTGAGCACATGATGAAACCTGTTTGACTGCTCTCGGTCCAGCTAATCCAGCCTACAGAAACCGTGGCCTTGGTAAAATGAGCAGCAGGAGCAGTTTTGTCCATGCTCACAGGAATGCTGTGCACAAAACTTTACTCATGTCCTGGAAGGGGAAAGTTTCCGGATGTGCAGCTGCCGGTGCCCCACCAGGCTCTCCTAGGAACACGCTGCTCAGCATTTGTTGTTTTTGCTTCCTGCCTTTGGAGGTGGTCCAGGAATGACGTGGGCTGGAGCAGCTCAGTCTGGTGATCCTCCCCACCAATCCCTTCATGTACAGCACATTCTTTAAACCATTCCATCCAATGTGTGGCCAGAGTGAGTAATCGAAAACTGTTTGCACAAAGCTCCTGTGATGCACTGGAGGTGGTTCCCCTGAGGACATTTTTCTTTGTATGGCTTAAATGCCAGTGATTTTTTTGGAAAAAAGTAAAAATTTGAGAACACACAAGGAACCTAAACCACATCCACTTACATGCAGCCCAGCAAGGCTTAAAGATGGATGTATAATTGCACATTTGAATTTTGAGTTCACAGGCAGGGTTAAACAATATTTTTTTTAGTGAATGAATGAATGAGGGGTTTGCTCAGTAGCACTAATCAGCTGCCCTCCTTCTGTTTAATGTGCTTGCAGACACTTTCTTGCAGAAAACATTAATTTCCTCCTCTTCTCAAATCATATTAGAACAATTAGAAGTAATTCGGTGTAAGACAGCCTGCAACCTAATCCAATTCACCAAATAAGTTAAAATAATGGAATCATACCATCACAGTACCAGCATAGTGACTGTATTACACACTTACTGTAACACTTGCACCTGTGTGAGCTGTGGCATTGCTCTGGGAGCTGGTTTCACTGTCATGCTTCACTGCTAACCAAGTGCTCTAGACTGCTTTAATTGTACTGTTTCTTCGATAGATTTGCCCCACAAAGTTGAATCACCATTTCCAACTGCTGCTCAAGAAAGTGTTACTACCAATAAAGACCAAAGTCTGAACCACGAAGGTCCTACCTAGGATTTGGACCAAGAGAAATCCTCTGCTCCACCAAAAATAGAAAACATGTAATCCACTCAATGCTTTCTGAAATTGAGGCATGACTGTGCCCAGTTCTTACTGAGCTATGTGCTGCTTTGTTGCCTTGTTTTTACTTTCAATTACACTTGTTACTAAAAGAAATAAATCTGTTTACAACCTGCTCCCAGTTCTGTGTAGAATTAAGGTGAGAGTCCAGCATCCTCACAACTGCCCAGTGCAGGCAGCAGAACCACAATACAGTGCCTTTGGCTCCCTGGCAAGCAGCAAGGCTTGGCATGGGAAGCATTCTGTGCTGACAGGGGCTGTAACACAAACACAGGAAAGGAGGACCCTGGTGACCTCTGAAAGCACTGAACATCTTTGCCTCACAGCCTTGGTACATCCCCACAGGTTGCTGATTTTGGTTAGCAATGAACAGTGAAGAGTGGGAGCAATGGATGGGATTGACAGCGTTGTAAACCTGTCCCCAAGTCACATCTGCTTCATCACCAGCACTGCCCAGGAGCTGGACTTCACCTTTGCCACCTCCAGATGAACACACAACAAAACCCAATAAAGTTCTGACAACAGTGCAAGCTACTCAAAAGTCTACTTCTGAGCAGCAGAAGACCCAAATCCTTGGTGCTTTCAGGGAAAAGGAAAGATGTGGGCTTGATGCATAATGGAGATATTTAATGTCATTAAGTCTCTTTCTGTAACCAGTAAAACTGGAGACAAGATGTAAAATGATGTGTCCAACCATGCACTCACCATAAGTAGTTCTGCTGCAAAACAAGTAGCTACCAAGGTGCACTGAATTACCTACAAAAATATTTCCTCTAAATCACAGCTAGCTTACAGTGAGTATCTAATTAAGAAGGAACCACTGCAGAACTAAATTACAGGGGGAAATTTACTGCTCTTACCTTCACTTTCTTCCATACTGAGTTCCCTTCATAACAAACCAGATTTTTTTTTTCTCTTCAGTCTATAATCAGTAAAGGCTCCTTTTTGGGTGAAGATGCTCTCAAGCTGGCTAGGTCTTGAGAAACTACCTGTGAGGGCTCAGTTCAACGTGGAGAAGTGGCTCAAAATGTTCAGTCATGTTCACATGCTGCTGCTTTGGGGTCCAAAGTGATTCATCCACTGCAAATCTGCTTTGCTGTAAGGGTTCAGCAGGTTTGGACAGTGTTAGCCAGGAGATCTTCCACATTGCTCCATGGACAGTGTCAACAAGCCCTTAAGGATCTGGACTGGGATGCAGGTTCTTGGCATCCTTAACTCTTTGGGTTTTGTCCATAAACAACGTTTCAGCAGCAGGAACTACTTCAATTTTCAAACCACACACATCATCAGCAAATCTGATACAACTTAGTGTGTAGATAAGATCTAAATGGCACCATAATTTAAATCACATTATGCCATTTTTAGTGGTTGTTGAAATTCAAGTTGCATTGATTTTAGTAGACTGGCTGAGAAACTATGTTAGTTCAATTTGTCCTCTTCCACTCTAAAACTGTCTACAAGAAAAGCTTAAACAGGTTTTCCACACTGAATCTGGATAAATGAGAGTAACAATAATCAATGGGTTAGGAAATATAAACAATTTCTCCCTTCTTTCTTTTTGAAGACTGAACAAAACTTTTGCCTTGCAATTTCTCTCTCTTTTTTCCCATACACAAATTAAAACATACAAGAAGCACTGGAGGATTCTCAGGGATAGTATGATTATATGATAACATGCACTGCAACTGAAAACTGTGCTATGCTCATTCCATGGGTCTCTCCTTTTTGGTAGTGTTTACTCCTTATCTTCTCCATGGACAGAAAATAACTCTTCAAAGGAAGTTAGTCTTCCCTCTACAGCTCCCATGGAAGTTTTCAAAACTTTGAGAATTTAGTTTCAGTAGGGAAATATGACCTGTGTTCATATGTTCTTGCAGCAAATGTCCCCAAAATACTTGGAGTATGAAACCATTTCTAAGGGGACATACTTGATTTTGAATTTTTATAAGGCAAAAGGAACTAAGAATTGAATGAAGGTTTAAATGAAAGTGATAGTTTATTGGAATTTACCTCTGCAAAATGGTCACAGATGAAGCAGCAGGTTTTTTTACTTAGAATAAAAATTAGACAGCGAAACAAAATGGAAAGAGATCCCTGTACAGTTGTAAACACTGCCTCTATGAAAATGGCTTTATCACAAAAGCATGGTTGTAATTGCCCCATTGCTATAATTCACTGCTTCTCTTCTGGTTGTCATAAACTTATATTCCAATTTGCTTATAAATTTCATAATTTTATAATATGAAAGAAATGGTGCATTTCTTAGTGGAAGTTGTTCACCTCTTTTCCAGGAACAACTTCATTAAATGCTTTCATGTGATGTATGAGTGCAAGGCCTCCTCCTTCTGGCTCTCCTGGGAGATTTATGTCCTTTTAGAGAAATGGCAAGATCAAGCCAACGTTACACAAATCAGTCTGATTGATGTGAGATTATTGTAAACTCCTCCCCTAAATTGACCAAAATGACATTCCAGAATGGAAGCAGTTCCAACAGGAGTGTTTAAAAGCAGGGGTGAGTTCTGACCTTATATGTGAGGCTTACACAAACATTCTGCTTTGTTCAGATGCTTCAGGAAATCTTCCAGACAGAAGCTACAATCGTGTTACTGGAGAGATGCTAAAGACAAAGGAGAACCCACTGGAAGTGACTCAGACCTGCCTGCAGGGAAGAATGAAATGACCCAATAATGCACTTTGCTGTGATGCATCTCAGTTTCAGTAAGGAAAGGCCAGACTGCTCCATCTCTTCCTTCATCAGCCACTGGAGAACAGGGAATTCAGTGACAGTGTGAATCAGTCTGATGAGATTAGTGTTGCGTTCACCACATTGGGATTCAAATTCCATTCCGGGAGGAAAAAAAAAGTAAAATCCAAGCAGCTGCACTGAAATAATGGGCCAAAACATCAATATGAGTAGTTGCCTTTAGAACTCCAATGTGTGTAGTTATCTTTAGAATCCCTCTGCCAGGACAGTTAAGAGTTCAATTGCTTGTTGGTGGTTCATTTCTTTTGGGATTCAGTCAGGACTTAGGAACTGATTTTAATTCCATCCTATAGGAAACAAGATTTCACTTTGGGAGATACCTATTTTAGGAACATCTGAGACAAAAGTCTGTCTTATGACTCAAAAAAACCCTACCTGATCATCAGGCTCCTTAAAAAGTTAATTGCAAACAGGAATGAGGCAGCATGTCTTACTGACACAACTAATTTCCAACCATATGGTGGCTCCAGTACAGTCTTGGTACAGATTAGCTCATTTGGCATATATTTTGGATATAAAGTGGGGGGGCTTTGCTGGCATCAGCTTGGTGATCCCTGTGCTGTGGTCCCTTGTGTCTTTCTGGATAGATGGGAAGATGTCTGAGATATGAGTCAGCCTTCCCTAATGACTGAAGGGTCTTCTGAATTTTAATCGCATTTATCTCCCTCCAATCCAGTCAGAACATGTCAGTGTTCCAAAAGAACACTGTCAAGTATATCTTCTTTAAAATACTGTTTTCAAATTGTTCTGTGGGGGTTTACCCAAGAAATTCTTCTCACAGCTGGAGTCACAGTCTAGTAAAAGAATTTTGCATATTTTAATGAAAAGTAGAAAACAATTCCCTTTTTATTTTTGCCTCTAGCAAAACCCTACTATACACAACGGCTTCACATACAATGAGATTAATGAAGTACATAATGCTTCAGCTGAGTATATTATTTTTACTAAACTGTTTTATCAGCTCAAAAAGCTTCTATTCAAACAAGGAAGTGGTAATAAATCATAGTTTATTGTACTGGAATCTTTTCACTTTTTCTAACTCCTTAAACCATAAATGTACAATGTAATGTATCTCTTTTTTTTAGCCTCATACCTCCTTAATAGGATCCTGACATTTCCTTTGGTGCATCCATATATTAGATTTCTTCAACTTCATGCTCTGCTCTCCACATCTATTCTGTCACAAAATATTGGTTTGGATCCAAATTCTTTTATACCCAATTGGATAGTTTTATTCACGTGGCTTTTCCTATCACATAAATCAGGCCTGTTCCAGACACAGGAGTTCAGCTGCAAGAAACCAGAAGAATCTTCTGATTACACTGTAGCATTCACTTAGCAGCTACATTTATTATGGGAGCAGATAATTTGTCACTTCTGTTACCGCCACACCATCAATTAGGCAGGCATGTAAGACAGTATAATAATTTTATTAAAATCCCCCAACAAATTGAACAAAGCAAGATGGCCTTAAATATTCATACACAACTCCAGTTTCAGACTCACTCTGAGTTTTGTGCTCTACATCCTCTCTGAAGATCTCTTCCACAAAACTGCAGCATTAGGATTGATATCAGTCCTGTCAGCAGGATTGCAGGCATCCAAGGTACAAAACATGTTTCGTTTAGCATCAAGAATGCAGACTGTCACATTATCCCTTTTTCTTCCCACAACTGCCAGCCATGCTGTTGATGTTCCAAAGGGTCCTGTCTAAAAACAATTTGGAAGCTTCACTTGAAGTCTCTAGAACACCAGAATATCTTTGAATTTTTCTTCAATTAGAGTGAAAGGACATTACCATGACATAAAGCCCAGAAGTACACAGGGGTTCTGAATCAAGCTAACTCCTGGTAGCTCTGAAGTGAAGTGAGAGCTTCATAGACTGTCACACAGATATTCAGAATACAGAAGTATTTTAGGCTTAACATACATGCAAGTTTTCTGTCAGTCTAATATGATTTCCACTATTTTAACCCAAATGTTTATACAAGTACAATGTTTACTAGATGCAGTTATCTTGACAGATAATTAACATATCCTGTTCTCCTTCCTCCAATGCATATACATTTTACTCTACCACAGCTCCCTAATCCAGACCAAGTTATGTTGGATGCTGTAGCTGATTAAAATTATTGAATGGTTTGTTCATCAGAACTGCAATTAGAAATAGAAATTCTGACAGGGATTTTGAAATTTGGACAGTTTTTTCCAGCACAGTTTTGCTTGAGCTCACGTCTCAAATAAAATGCATTTTCTTACAGAAAAAAATCCTATCTGAGAAAGTAAAACCATTTGCTACTTCACTTTTAAAAGATTTTTTGCTTTTAAATAATCTAAGTGTATTTCTCTCATCTGGTTTAAAGGAAGAAGAATTCAGCCCAATAGCTCAGCTGCAATAGAGAAAGAAAACATCAAATGAACCACTTCTTTGTAACATGTAAATGTTATCTGAGTGGCTGTTTATTTAAAAGGAAGTGCTGATGTTGGCATTTGTTCCCTGTGTGTGCTGCCAACTTTGTAGTTGGAGGGATTAGACAGAAAACAAATTAATAAAGTCTAGTTTTTCTGTGCTTAAAAAATTGGGACTATCCTAAGATGAGTTAAATAGTCTCTGGAAAAATCAATCTTTCTTATAGCCCATAGTGCATGGAGCAGTTTACCAGCTCAGTGACTACACAAGATTTGTCTCATGTCCATTGATAAGCCACGGGAAGCAACGTGGCCAATATCAGCTCACAGAACATCTTGATTTCAGAGCCCCACATTCAGTGGTTGTTCTGGCAAAGTGGTTCTGATTAATGTGCTCCTCTGCCAAATCTGGACCATTTAGCACGTCCTGCCTTACAAGTCTGAGCTATCATGAACTACCTCAACACTCTCTAGTGACATCCATCCCAAATGGATTCTACAGGACCATATTCAAGTGTTCAACACAGCTATGATGCTCCCAGAGAGGCTGCACAAACGAGAGGCTGCAAGTGAATACAGCAATTAGATATATCAGAGGGGCTTAATCCACTGTTGAAGGTCAACACAAGCAAGAAAGCATCATTTCTTACAGGTGCTGTGCAAGCTAGTTTGGCAAATGGGTTTCATACTGATTCAGTTCAAGACAGCTGTATAAACCCTGCCTGAAAGTGTGACCTGTCCACTTTAAAAACAGGAATGGGGTGAGGGACAGCTGAAGTTATGTGAGCAACTCGTCCCCTTCTCTTTTTAAGGGCCACTGAAGTTTACACTATAGATAACATCATACAGGCCTTCAAGTGATGTCTGCAAGAAGCACATGACACTCTGCAGATATTGATCCTCCACAAATCAATGCCAGAAGACAACATTTCTGTGAAGGCAAACTCCCTCTTCATTGACAAGAAGTGTACAGGAACATGATGTTCTTAAAGTGCTCTGAAATTGTCCTTCAGTCTGTAGTCAAGACTGCTCAGGTTTCTAGTTCTCAGTGAGGCACTACCTTGTGGGATGGACAGGAGAAGGATGGAATGGGCTTTGAGATCTGACTTTTCTGGATGATAGCTGAAACATATTAATAGTGCAGTAATCATGGTAAAGGATTAGAGGAAGAACTAATGGTAAGGCAGCACAGCTGTTTTGGACAAAATGGAATAATAAAGTTCTACTGTTATTTGTATTTCTTCCTGGATTTACTCACACTAATTTACAGAGTAAGCAGCAAACTACAGTTCCAATAACTGAGCTGTTCTCTGCCACCTCAGGGTCCTCTCTACAGGGCAGCTCTAGGAACACACAAAACGCATTTTACACTGAACAGAAGCCAAATCCGAAACAATGCTAGATCTGAAAGGCTCCTGAATAAACTGGCTCTGTTCCTTCCCTTTGTTTTGTGTGGGTGGTGGCCTAATGTAGCTACCAACACAAGTACCCTTGCAGAGCACACCCGCCGGGGCTGTCACGGTGGGTTGTGGCTGAGACATCCCCCCCACAGCTTCTCTCCTTCAGGTAAAAAAGTAATATCTCCTGGGCGTTGTGGCAAAGCATTCACACACAGATAATGTCCCTAAAGATTTTAAGTAATGGGAAACCATTTTGGAACACGAGATTGGGAAGTGACATCCAGGCCTGTTTCTGATCCCCGTTAAACCCGTGTCACACTGACTGCTCTGCACCTGGATTTTCCTCAGGATGATGCCACAGTCATGAGGTAGATGCCTATGGAGAGGGCAGGCTGCTCCATCCAGCAGGCTAATGCCAAATGGTGGCTTTGTGGCATGATTTTTTTCTGAACCTAGGGAAAGTCCCAGAAATATCTGAGTTTTGTATTGCACTATATGACTGCAGAGCAGTTCAAGGGGTCCTGGTGGTGTTGCTGGAGACAGGAGGAGCTCTGTTCCTGCAGACTTCACAGTAATCTGGTTTCAATTAATATCATACCTCGCTGTTTCTTACTCAGAAACACATCACAACAATTTTCTATCACAGAACCCTCCCTGGGACATGACTTTAGGTGGGAGGAGTGAGGAATCTCACTGTTTTGTTTCCCAGCACAGAAGACTGTTACCACTGGTAACATTTTTCTCCCTCTCTATGCCTTTGTATGGAGACAAGGGAGATTTTATCACTTGCTTCTGTTACTACCAAACCCTGGAATAAAGCACTTTATTTGCATTTCATATACTATTTTTACAGTGTATGAAGAATAATATTTGTGTTGAGCTGTTAAATATTGACAATAGTCCCACCCTATTTATCAAATACTGACAGCTGACCAAGCAAAGGAGTAAAAGTTATTTGGAAATTTGGATCTTCTTGAAGCCTTTAAATATATTTCTAGAAGTTGGAGGCTTTCCCAGTTCACACAGCTACTCTAATAGCTAGACATACTCGCTCCCTTCCTTATGCCAAGAAGTCAATTAAGAAATATATAGCAGAAGGGAGGCACTTCTAAAGGAACAAATTTTTTTTACTGGTTCTTAACAGAAGAAAAAAAAAAAAAAAATCTTTGTCTGAAAATAATTAACATATGTGAAAAGCCAGCCTGAATCAAAGCCTTGAATTTGAAAATTTGGGGGCTTTGGGATGGAGATGGCAGGGCTGAACAATAATTATGAACATTACAAATTCCAGCTCCTTCTGACAGTGCCTTTGTTCAGAGGTTTTCTCTCTCAGACCTCAATTCTGCTTTTGGGTGGAGCACTCACTTGGTACATTGTCAGTACAAACAACACTGAACTTGTCTGCACAGTGTGAACTTCACCTCGGAGTGACTGCCTGAACCCAGGGATCCATGGCAGTGCTGTTCTTTGAGAGCATCCTTTTCCATGAGTACAGTAATTCCCAGAGATTCATCTGCCATCAGCAAGAACAAATCTTTACTGAGTGCTGCAAAAATAACAACACTTTACAAAAATCATCTTCTTCTCTAAATATAACTGACCAGAAGATATTAAGTGTATTATCCTAGTGGAAAAAAACCCTCTCAGTGATAAAAGTGCTCTTGTCTTTTATTATGGTGTAAACAAATTCACACTCAGCCTCCAGAATGCAGTTAATCCCAGTTGTGATGGGAATACGTCAGAGGAAACACATTTCTAACAATCATAAAGATACTCACACAGATAAACCTGAGAATCTCTTACAAAAGCCCCCAAGAGAATATAACATTCTTTCAGGTTATTTTTTTCCATACATCTCTCTTCCTGGGAACTAGATCATTAATTATTGTACTCATATGCAGCCACAGACATCAAGAAGCCACATCTACTCTATTTCCATGTATAAACCCAGAAATTTAATGTGCAGTTCCATAACACTTAAAAGATAAGATCTGTTTTATAGAGTAATGTAGAGAAGACCAAAACCTGTCCCTGCCTGTTTCAAACAATGAGATAATTTTAGCTCCAGACAAGCCATTTCCTAACATTATCTAAACTATAGCTCATAAAAGTTTATGGACTCAAATTCCAAATAGAGTAAGAAAACAATGGATCTCAGTATCTTCACTAATGATAATAGCAGTTGGGTGCCATAAGGCTACTGCTTACAGTGAAATTTTACAGTAGTTTATTTTACCCAAATCCATCAGTGGTTTATTCCTTTTTAAAAAGAAATTTAAAATGACAGAATTTGTAGAGATGGTGTGCTTAGTCAATATATGTGATGGTGCTCATATTACATATACAGCCTTTCACCTGGGTAAGTCCTGGCACGTGCTTTCAGCACAGGATATTAAGGTGTGAACAACAGGAGACAAGGAATATTAACTATGGAGACAAAAGAGTGCCGAGTTTGGGATTTTTCACTTAACTACCATTACAGTTTGGCAATATAGTTGCACAATTGCACTTTTTCATAACATTACTGTATTTTAATTTTATTAAGGGAGTATAGCATGAGAGGCACCTTTCAACATCTGCTTTTCCCCCCCTCCCCTTCCTAGTGGTGCATTTTGGCATTTCCAGTTTTAACAGAAGTCCAGGAATGTCCAGTTCTGTATTTAATTACAGCACATGCAGGCCCAGTGATGTAATAAGAAATCCCAAATCAAATGAAGAACACATGCCAACAGTTGGGTAAGTAGCTACTGTCTTGGGTAAGTTTATGTGCTGACTTAGACCTCTGGAATATTCAATCTGAAGAGATGGAGTCAGACCTTTAGGTCAAACCTTTGATAACCCTCCCAGTAAAAGTGTTTTTTTCTCGAGAGTAAATAGAATTTCCTGTATGCTCACCCAATCCCCCGCTACCAAGCCTAGGTCTTCCTTGTTCCAGACTTACCCACTGGTCTCAAGGACCAGGTATTTCTGAGGCCATATCTTACCAGTGAAGGCTGAAGAAAGCACTGACTATCCCAGCCTTTTCCACTTTGCTCTTGCTGAGACCCCTGCCCAATTCCCCAAGTGGGTCCACATGTCCCTAGCCTTCCTTTTGTTGCCAATACATGTGTAGATGCCCTTTTTGTAGCTCTTCATGGCCCTTGCAAGATTTTGGCTTTCCTGACCATCCCCCTACGCTTGGACACTAACTCTGTACACCTCCTGGGTGACCTGACACTGCTTCCACCTCTTGCGGAAGCATCTTTTTCATGTCTGAGCTTTGTCAGCAACTCTTTGTTTATCTGTGCGGGCCTCCTGCTACTTTTTAGGTTTATTTCCTGCCCATTTTAATGGACCTTTCTCAAGCTCAGAGGAGGTAATCCTCAAAAAATCAGTAAGATCTCAGTGACCCCTCTTCGCTCCTGGACCATATCCCATGACATCCTTAAACAGGCCAAAACCTGCTCTCCTGAAGCCCAGGGTTGTGATCCAACTATTTGCCTTTTTTTTTTTTTTCTTTCAGAGCCACATCTTCAGAATTATGCCCCTTAAAAGAAGGAAATAAAAAAATCCACAACCTGGATATCTCATTTCCCATCTCTGAAATTAAACATAAGGAGAAGTTAGCCCTCTCCTGATGACAATGCTACAGAAAGAAACCCCAGCCATTATTTAAGTCTCTTCCTCAGATACTAATTCCCTCCTTTCCCCTCTGAGAATGGGGTGGGTATCACCGAGTTAGAAGAACATAGAGAGCCCTCCCGTTTTGTGCTCTCTTTTTCAGACCAGATTTCCTTTTTTATTGGTGGAGCAGTGTGACTGGAGCTTGTTCTTCAGCACATTTTTCCATGCTCTCCTTCAGAGTACTTGCTGTATCTTTCTGAGATAGATCCAGCAATTCATCATAATTGGCCCCCAAGCCTGTTTTGCTTCACTCATTGTTTTCAAACCTGAATCTCTGTTATTCATCATTGTTAGGAAGGCAAACTGTAGGTTGATACTAATGTGGAGCACCCACCCTTTCCCTTAAGGAAAGCATCTTCTAAGACCTTCCTCATCCCATGTGTCAGCTTGGAAGTTTTTAACCAGAAGGTATTTTCATTTCCTAGTATATAAAATTAAGCATTAGCTACTTAAAAAACCAATTATCTCTCAGAAGACTCATTTCTGATACCATATTGAGAGTCCAACCATTTCAAACTCATGTCCTTGGGTCTTTTAAATGTGAATTTGAATTTACAGACAATGTGAACTCTTACACAGCCCCAATCCATGCCACTACTTTTGTCTCAGAACACGATCAAAGCTTATTTTTGTACAGCAGAAACACACAAAAGCCCCGAGAGATATGTACTTTACATTTGACACAGACATAATGTCACTATAATTAATCAAAACACATTCTAATGACACATTCTCCCTCATGAAAATGGTCAGAGTGCCCCAGAGCAGCTAATGACTGCAGACAGTGGAGCCCTGGGGTAGGATGGTCAACACAACAGAGCTACAGGTCAAAAAGGATTTTCTGGGATTCCCTCCCACCCCCCAAAATTACAGGCATCATGACCATGCAGTGGCAAAGTGCATAAACCTGAGCCACGT